TTTTTTTTTTTTAAATCTCTCTCCAGAAATTCTCTGATCCTAGATCTTAAAAGTTCAAGTTAGGAAACCTTTAAGAGGTTTGTGAGTGGCTCTCCAGTAGAGTGCTTTGAAGTAATGTAGCCACCGTATAAAACTGAAAAGTATCTATTTTCATCTTGGTAGTTGCGGTCTGATCTGGAAGGCCAGTGCTCTGCATCACTCACTCATGCTCCTCATGCTTTTCTGTATTCATCTCCATGGGAACTGTGAAATAACAATCCTTAGATATGGGCTCCATCTGATCTTTGCCCTTTTGCTGGTTGGTTTTTTTCTTTTCCTGATGACCTCAGTCTTCTACCTTTAGTAAAACCAGGTATGTGAATTAAGGAGGTTTTGTAATCAGTAAATTCATCTTATTTTCATTAGCTTATTTTATAATTTAGGAAACAACAAACTTGAAAGGTCAGGAGTTATAAAACCAGTAATAACTTTTCATAACTCACTTTTTCCACTGAATTATAGTTGATTCCCAAGGTAACAGAAACAAACAAAAAAAGTAAACAAGTCTTAATTTAAAATTGTTCTAGGTAGATAAATTATAAAACTCCATGCATACTTTTAAAAGTGTTTTACATATTTATATTGCTTAGTGCTGATAGTTTTTGAGTGACTGAATCAGACTCACATTTCACCAGCTGTCATTAGCTTCCATTTACATATTTTCTGTGTAAGATAAAACTGCAGTTCAGCCATCCTAATTTATATGTGTGCATTTAAGTTTCTTGTAGATTACTTTCTGCTGTGGTGTGAACATGCTGGCCTGGCAGTCAGTCTTCATGTCATCTGGCAGGGCTACACCTGTAGATAGCAACCATAGGTGCAGGAGCAGCTTCATACAAAATCTTATTGCACATTGGAAGAATTGTAAATGTTTAAAAATAGTTACTGAAAATTTCAGTACTGACTTTTCAGAGTATAGGTATTTGTTTTATGAATTGTTTTAGCCGTTCAGAATGTTTTATGTGTTTAACAGTGCATCATTTTAATTGTCCTTACCTTCTGTTCACTTCTACTCTCAAACATATCTGGTTTTCTTCAACTCACAAGAGATACAGACTAGCTCTCCAGCTTTTAAATTATTTTGCTTATAAGGGTACCTGAATTATTTGTGGTAATTGCATGTTTTTATGTCATCACTTTTTTTCCTTTCTCTAAATAATCAGTCCTAAGCTGATTTACTCTCCTGCACAAATTCTTTTAATATCCCTAAGTGCTTCTGCCTTAGGAATTTCTCAGATAGCAAAAATAACAGAATTAAAAGGCACTGATTAGGATATTTCCTTCCCATGCTTTCCTATTTCAGACTCTTGTTCTTTGTAAATACCTGCTAAGTGGGATTGTGTTAGATTGAAGCATTTTTCTTTTCATCTTAATTGAAGAGTGGAACATTATTCATCAGTTTAGAACATATGCTCACAAATTCAGGCAACCATACCTTTACATTAGAAGTATAAATAGCTGCCTTCATAAGTGGCATAGGGTCATGTAAAAATATAACAGGGAGCACATTGCAGGACTGCAATTTAATTTTGGTGTTTGAAGAATGTGCTAAAGTTAGAGAGCTGAGCAATTCTCTTGTAAAATATGATAGTATACTGGGGCCTCTTCCCTGTTAGCCAATATTATTTGATGTTTTTATGTTTAAGGATACACGTTTCATTTGAAATTAGAAAAGTCCTTTCCATCAGTAAGTTTTATTCAAACAAAATTTGCACCTTACTAATAATTCTCAATTTAGTCAGAATATTATAAGGTGACAGTAATTTGTGAAAACATAGGTTGTGTATAGTATGGTCTTTAGAGCATAATATATATTTAAAAATTGCCTTTTTAATTTCACAAACATTTATATTTGGGCCATTGGTTTCTGCCTGCCTTTCTACCATTTGTTCACAGCTGTAGTAAACTTCATTATATTTGATATCTTTGGAACTCAAGGATTATTAAGAAGCAGATGAATAAATAAGTAAGCACAGTAAAATGAAACCACGTCAAGGGGGAGGTTATTAAGTTTTTCAAAAAAGAAGACATTTGAGTTTGAAGATGATAGGTGAGAAGATAAGAAGTCATAGGAGTACAACCTTCAGCCAGAGTGATGCAGATAGAAGAGGCTATGCTGTCTGTATAGCCATGAAGGGGAAGACCTACAATTTAAAAAAACTTGCGTTCTTCTTTAAACTTTAAGAATTGTATCACAGAGAAACTTAAATGAATTAAGGTTTGTTGTTGTTGTTGTTGTTGTTTTCCTAAAAAAATAAAACTGCCCCTTCCTGGCCAAGATAAGGCTTGCACTGCTGAAGGATTACCTGAGGTTGGATGTGTAAGTGGACAAGAGCAGGTCTGCAGTAGATGAGGCATCCTGTGCTGCACTTTCAGTAGCCTCATGTAGACTAAAATCACAATTGGAATACGGGACCTCGGACTTAGCTTGTTTGCTTATACAATAAACCTCATCAGGCCTTTCCCTAGCCAAACACTGATGAAAAAAAATGAAACTGGGCTATAGAAAGATCTTATAGACTTGCTGGGGGAATACCACTAATTCCATCCTCAATCCAGTGGTGATAAGAAGGGCACTGGAACTACATAAAGGAGCAACTGAACTACAACCCAGATTACTCCATCTGCTTGGCAAGAAACCAAGAGCAAATTACAGTCTTCTTCAGTATCTGTTGTTCCTCTATACTCAATGTTGTACATAAATAAAATCTTTAAAGGATGTGAAGAAAATGAGATCCATAATCAATAGAAAGAAATACTGCAAACAAATTCAAGAAATGATCCAGATATTTGAATTAACAGACAAGAACTTTTAAAAGAACTTTCAGGGCTAGAGAGATGGTCAGTGTTAAGGGCACTGGTTGCTCTTTCAGAGGACCCAAGGTTCAGTTCTCAGCACCCACATAATGGCTAACAACCTTCTATAGCTTCAGTTCTAGGGGATTTGACACCCTCTTCTGGCCTTTGCGAGTATTGCATGACGAGGATACACTTACATGTTGGCAAAATATTCATATACATAAAATTAAAAATAATCATCTTGGTAAAAGTTTTTTGAAAACTGTCAGTATCATTAAGAAAGTGTAGCATTTTGGTGCTAAATGAAAACTACAAAATGAAAATTCTAGAATTTTAAAAGTACTAGCTCTGAAGAATTCATTAAATGGGTGCCGTAGTTCAGATCTAGAATGTCCCTTGTAGGCCCATGTGTTAAAAGCTTGCCCACTAGTAGGAGGTCTTCCAGTTACTGGAGGGCATGCCCTTCAAGAAAATAATTAGGACCCTCATCCCTTCTTCCCCTCTCTTTGCTTCCTAGTTT